TTAAAGCTTGCGAACCAGGCTGGAATCCCTCCAGGGGTCTATAACGTCCTTCCCTGCTCTAGAACCAAAGCCAAGGAAGTGGGGGAGGTGCTGTGCACCGATCCATTGGTGTCCAAAATTTCCTTCACTGGCTCAACAGCGACCGGGAAGGTATGTGACATCAGAGTCGAACGAGAGCGGGCGGTTCTAAGGCTTTCTCTTTATAGAGCATGGAATCGCTACTTTATTGTTTTTGTTTCATTTTATTGGAAACAGGGTCTACATAGCCCTGCTGTTCAGGAACTTGCTCTGTAGACCAGACTGGCCTTGAACTCACAGAGGCCCACTTGTCTCTGCCTCCCAAGTGCTGGGACTAAAGGAATGTACCACCACACCTGGCCAGTCATATAAATTGTGAATTGATATTATGGTTCAAAACAGTGTTGGCATTGTTTACCGCTGGCATTGTTTGCCGTTGGCATTGTTTACCGTTGGCATTGTTTGCCGCTGGCATTGCCCCAGCTCACAGTGTTGCTGACTCCTTCCTTGTCTTCTGTAAATAATTGCTTTTAGTTTCCTACTACCTTCCTAGTGGGTTTTTTAAATCAAATCTAATGAAATAAGAATCTGTAGTCTCCCGAATACATTGTATACATGTATGGAATTCTCAAAGAATAAATAAATAAATAAATAAATAAATAAATAAATAAATAAATAAATAAATAAATATGTATTAAAAATAATGTATTGTCACTGGGCACTGGTGGTGCATGCCTTTAATCGCAGTACTCGAGAGGCTGAGGCAGGCAGATCTCTGTGAATTCGAGGACAGCCTGGTCTATAGAGCAAGTTCCAGGATAGGAAAGCAAGTTCCAAAGCTACAGAGAAACCCTGTCTCAAAACACACACCCCCCAGAGTAATAATAATACATTATCATGTCTCCCTTTTCTTATATGAAACGATAATCTAAAGCAAGGTGATCTTGTGTGCACCTTAAAATTTTCATTATTGGGTAATTTTTTTTTTCTGAGACAGGATTTCTCTGTGTAGTTTTAGGTCCTGTCCTGGATCTCGATCTGTAGACCAGGCTGGCCTCGAACTCACAGAGATCCGCCTGGCTCTGCCTCCCGAGTGCTGGGATTAAAGGCATGTGCCACCACCGCCTGGCTCATTGTTGGGTAATTTTGTAAAAACAAATTACAATTTTTTAAAACAATTTAAAAAAAAACAGTTTTAGCAGCCTTATATGTTAGTTTGCTGTTGTTACAAAATACATGAGAAAAATAACTTAAAGGAGGAGAGGAAGATTTGAGGGATGTTTTGGCACGAGGCTTAGGAAATTTCAGCCCATGGTCAGTTGGCTCCATTGCTTTTAGCCCTGTAATGAGGCAGGAGGCATTGAAGGAGAGGAGAGGTCCAGGACCAGATACATCCTCCAAACACATTTCCTCGTGACCTCTTTCCTGGCTAGACCCCCTATGAATAGTCCACTCAGCTGTGACCTCCTGACCTAATCCCCTCTTCCTGGGGTCACCAGCTGGACATCTAAGCCATCAGGGACGAAGGTACTTTCTGTGCAAACAGGAACACCCTCTACGTTGTTTTAGATGTTCACAGTGTTCCCCTGCTGCACCCCTGCAGATCCTGCTGCACCATGCAGCGAATTCTGTGAAGCGTGTCTCCATGGAGCTGGGCGGCCTCGCCCCATTCATCGTCTTTGACAGTGCCGATGTGGACCAGGCTGTCGCAGGCGCAATGGCATCTAAGTTTAGGAACGCTGGGCAGGTGAGTCATCCAGAACATTTTAGGGCTGGCATAAGGGTAGGTGTATGTGTTTTACAAAGATCCTAGCACCACTGTGCCTTGCCTCTCTCCCTGGTTCCTTTGTGAATTCAGGTGCTCATTCTGTGAGCAAGCATTTAGTGAGTAGTTTCTCTCAGGCACTAGTTAGGCTTGGATTGTCCAAAGAGAAGTAAGACATAGTCTGTTGCTTCAGAGAGTTTCGAGAATTTCATGTCTCTATTTATATATATGTATATGGTATATGTATACACATGTGTGTAGGCCTATGACCCTTTGGGGCGTGTGCAGAAGCCAGAGGAGGATGCCTGGTATCCCTACTTAGTTGTGCTGAGGGACTAGGGGAGCTTATACACTTGCCTAGGAAATCCTGGATGTCAGATCTGACAGGCACCTTCAGCACTTCTGATATAAATCTAGGAACTCAAACCAAAAAGACTGAGTGGCTTGAGTCATCCTCAAAGTCCCGGTGCTAGGAGCCAAGGGCCCGAATCCCATCCTGTTGCCCAAGCCCCTGCCAGAAGCTGGCTGCTTAAGTCCTACTCTCAGGCAACTGGGCCTTAAAAGTGCAGTCAGCAAGCCAAGGATCTCGGCTTCATTTTCACAGACAGGAGCTCCCCTTGTAGCCCAGCCCGGCACTGAACTTGCTCTGTAGCACAGGCCATCTGGGAAACGAAGCCCTCCTGGAATTAGAAGGCATGTGCTGCTGTGTCCGGCCCAATGAGCTTCTTAAATGCTCTTCTGAGATAAATAGCCTCCGAAGTTATATGCAAAAAGGGAAGCTGGTGGTGTAAACTGTTCTGTAGAACTTTTCTTCCTTGTTTTGACTTTTGGTAATTAATTTTTCCTTTTCACATAACCTAAATAGTTTTTTGTTGTTGTTTATTTGTTGTTGTTGTTGTTGTTGTTGTTGTTACAGAATTAGAAATTTTTTTAAGCAAACACAAAATTTCAGCAGAGTTCTATACAAAGCTATGGCTTTGAACTGTGTTAAACCAATAAAAAATGCATAGGACACAATTATACATATACTTATTTCTACTAGGAAAACACAATGAGGAAAAACAAATTTATCAATAATAACTACATTTCCTATAGTATGCTTATATTTTATCATTTTAAAATATGAAGTCTGACTGGACAGATAACAAGCCAGAGTCTCAGTATTTCAATCCAACATGGAAGATGGCCTTTTAAAAAAAGTTTTATTTTTTATTTGCAAACATTCAGCCAATAAACTCTAGAGCTGCAAGAGTTTATGAGCTTTCAAAAAAAGATTAATTTTCCTTTTATAAGTGTGAGTGTTCTCTGCCTGCATGCATGTACACTCTGTATGTGTCCATTGCCCTGAGAGGCCAGAAGAGGACACCTGAGTCCCAGAACTGTTGTGAGCTTCCATGTGGGTATCAGGAACTGAACCTGGGTCCTATGCAAATACCCCTAACCTCTGAGCCATCTTTCCAGGTCCCCTCATAATTTTTTATTTGTTTTATTGGTTTTTGGCAGTACTGGGAATAGAACCCATGGCCTATGCATACCAAGCAAGCAATCTACCACAAAACTTTATCCCCAGTCCTTTATCATCATCATCATCATCATCATCATCATCATCATCATCATCATTATTATTATTATGTATATAAGTGTGTGTCCATGTGTGGCCAGAAGAGGACATCAGATCTTATAGACCTGGAGTTACAAGCAGTTGTTGAACTGGCCAACATGGGTGCTAGGAGGTCCTCCTACACGAGCAAATAACTGCTGAGCCATCTCTCTGTCCCCAAAAGAAAGGCCTCGTATCCATTTTTGAAATCACACATTCAGCAAAACACTTGGAGGATTGGCTGGAGGATGTGTGTTATTGTTTGACCTCATTCCTGTATTCTCTGCTGCTGCAGCCCAGCTCCTCAGGAACATCACAGCCTCTGCTTCCTAATAGTATATTGAATGGCTACTTTTCTGGTTATTTGGGTTTTGTTCACACAGCTGTTTATTCTTGCTTATGTTTAGCTCTAGATGTGTGATAGCTATGGGGAGAACTGGACAGGTGTGTTCACTCGGGGGATTTATTCTCCACCTGGGAAGAACATAGAAGGCTGGACTCATGAGAACCATTTCGGGAAGGGTTGTCTTACGATTCTTGGACCAGCCGCTTCTGAAAAACTAACTGGGTTTGTTTTGTCTTCTGTCTAGACTTGTGTTTGCGCAAACAGGTTCCTGGTACAGCGGGGTATCTACGATTCCTTTGTAAAGAAGTTCGCAGAAGCAATGCAGAAAAGCCTGCGTGTGGGTAACGGATTCGAGGAAGGAACAACTCAAGGCCCGTTGATTAATGAGAAAGCCGTAGAAAAGGTGGGTTGGTCCTAATATCCTCATGAAGGAAATTTTGTGATGTCAGTATTAAAAGCTTAGTTAAATAAAAGCATTTTCATAAGGTCCCCAGCAAGGCTGTTTTGGAAATAATGGGGAAATGCAAAAAGGTTTAAAAAAAAAAAAGAATTCCTACCACTACCAATGTGTATGGACGGTGATGTCTGGACATGCTCTTCCTGCTCCGCCTGAGAACCTGAGATTGGGCCCATTAGGTCTTCTGCCCTCCCTAAGTTTTCTGTCATAAGAAGCTTTTTCCTTGATGTCCTTCCAGAAGAATTTTAACGTAGACACCCCAAAAAAGGCACATAGAATCGCAGGCGTCCCGCAGGTAAGGAATGACAGAGGGAAGCTCCTTGCAGGAAGGAATTGTTTGTTGAACATCACAGTCTGGGTGACCGGCAGGATGAGCTTTCTCTGTTACACTGGTGTGTGTTTGGCTTTCGCTTTGTTTTTACTATGTTTATTTACTCAGTGTGTCTGAGCGTGAGTGGGGGGCGGGGGGCAGGGCACATGTGTGCCACAGCACAGGTATAGAGATCATAGGACAATGTACTAGAGTCCTTCTCTCTTCCACCACCTGGATCCCAGGGAAAGGACTCAGGTTCTCATGATCGGCAGCAAGCACAGTTACCTGCTGACCGCTCACCAGCCCTGGTTTTAGCTATTTTCATTTGTTTAAGTTATCGTTAGAATTAAGGGTTTCATCTTGGCACTCTTATACATGTATTTCATTAGACTTTGTTCTCATCCCTTCCCTGCCTACCTTCCTCCTCCCAGCTCCCTTCTTGCTCATTCCTTCTCCCCCCAAATAGTCCCCACTCTGCTTTTATATCACATGTGTTCCACGCTCTGTTCTACTGTTTTTTAAAAAACAATCTTTTTAAGAATCAGAAAGTGAGGGAGCCAGCGGGGTGACCTGGGGGTTAAGAGCCCTTACTTCTTTTGCTAGAGTTAGAGGCAGTTGTAAGCTTCTCAACCTGGGTGCTAGGGACCAAACTGGAGTCCTCTGCAAGAGCAGTAAGTGTTCTTAACCACTGAGCCACCTCTCCGGATTCCCTGGAATGCCCTTTGATTGTGTGGCTTTCTCTTAGGCTTGATTTGATCTTGAGCTGTTCTGTCCATCAGTGCCTTTGGAGCAATAGGCTACACCACATATAGCCTACACACACACCATATAGGCTAGGTGTGCAGCATGCCAGGCCGATGGGTTTGTATCAAAATGCTGTATGCTGTTTATCCAAGAGTGAAATCAGCTAAGGACACATTTCTGAGACAGAACGTCTGCCATAGGTAAGTAATGCCTCTGTGTTGGAGATGTAGCTAAACGTCCCTTCAACCCTGATGACAGTGGACGAGTGAATCTACGAAAGTACAACCAGCCCAGCTTGCTGTGAAGGCGAAGCTCAGAGAACCCATGGGCTTTCCAGAGCTGGTTCTCTTCCACCACGTGGGTCCCAGGAATTGAACCTTGGTTGTCAGGCTTGCATGCTGAGCCACCGTGCTTGCCTATCTATAGGGAAACAGAGAAAAAACACAACAACAACAACTATGGTTTTTGCTGTTTAACATTTTAAGAGACTGCACCGTTTGGAAAATGTCCTCATCCAGCCTTCCCTCCTGCCCTTCTTCTCCTCTCACAGGTGGAGAAGCATGTGAATGACGCAGTGGCCAAGGGGGCCACCGTCGTGACAGGCGGGAAGCGACACCCAAGTGGGGGAAACTTCTTTGAGCCCACGCTGCTCAGCGACGCCACCACGGACATGCTCTGCGTCACCGAAGAGACCTTTGGGCCCCTGGCGCCGGTTGTCAAGTACGTTCCTCTGTGGTGGGAAGGAAGATGGGAAGGAAAGCTAATCTGAGAGCGGTTCCCGTGCTGTCTCAAGGGCGGGGTGGGAGGCCTGAGCAGCTGCAGGCAGAGTTGCCTTGTATCGGTTGAACAGCGCAGCTGAGTTTATTATGCTGTCTTGGTTTTGATTTGGGGGCTGTGGGTCAGCCCTGGGCGTTGTTTCTTGGGAGCTGTCCACCTCAGGTTTTTAGACAGGGTCTCTCACTGGCGCCTGGGGCTCTCTGGTTAGAGTAGACTGGTTAGCTCACAGTTCCAGGGATACTTCTCGGTCTGTCTCCCCAGACCTGGGATTACAAGCACAGGCCGCCAAACTTTTTTTGGTTTTCACGTGGGTTCTGGGGGTCGAACTCAGCACTTCCCCAACAGGGCCAGATAGCTCCCTAGTCCCTGGTCCCAGGTTTGGTGTTTGTCTTTGGTCTTTGTAACCCAGGCTTGCCTTGGACTCCCAGCCTTCCTGCCTTAGCCTCCGAGTGTAGAGATAATAGGCATGTGCCACACCCAGTTTCAAGCACAAAATTCATCAAACTCCATTTAGTTTCCTGCTGCCTCTAAACTTACTTTTTTTCCCCTGATGAGGAATACCTTCAAGGGCTCTATCTCAGCCATCTAGAGGTAATGAACTTGGACCTCCTGTGATCCTTTATCCCATCTTAACAAGTAAATAATAGTTCTCAGATCAGTGCTCTGAAAATATTTATCTACTTGGATCCAGGGCCTGGAAGGGCTCAGAAGAGAGTGTCAGGTCTCTGGGACTGGAGTTACCAGCTGTAAACCACCATATGGGCACTAAGAATTGAACCCAGGTCCTCTGCGAGAGCAGCAAATACTCTCTACCAATGAGTAGCCCTTTTTTAAACATTGACGGTGTCTCTGCCAAGCTGGTCTGCTTCTCCTCTCTCTTGGCAAAGGCGGGCCGCACTGACCTACCGCGTCTTGGAGAGGGCTCAGTTGCCATGCTTGTGTTTGTGCTTCCTTCTTGTATTCTCCCCCTCGGATCACTTTGCAACCCTGGCCTCCTTCTTGTCGGTATTTAGGAAATGAATCAGGAGAAGATAAAGCTAGCTGTGTTTTCTCTTCGCCTTAGGATTTTGCTTATGACCTACTTTGTTTAACTCTGGCAGGTTTGACAAAGAAGAAGAGGCCATTGCCATCGCAAATGCAGTCAATGTTGGATTAGCAGGTAGGTGTCTGTCCGGAAGCCACCATAGTCATCTCCTCAAGTCAATACCAGGTTCTGCACTGGCTTTGAACTCCGGAAGTCTACCTGCCTCTGTCTCAGAGAGCTGGAATTAAAGGCATTCACCACCTTGCCTAGCAAACTTAAACAGTCGTATGCTTTGTTTCTTTACAAGTGGCAAAAGTGGCCTTGTACAAACATGTTCCTTTCTCCTGTGACTCATGACATACATGTAGAGCGTTCTGGCTAGAGCTGAGGGTGGGAGGCAGTGGGGGAGGGTGCAGATTGTTCTAGGTGGAGAGTCACATGCAGTTTTCCAGAGACATAACGCTCAGTGCTTTTTTTCACATTTGACTTGTCCTGGTATCCCAAAGAAGCCTCTAGAGATGGGAAGTGTGTGTGTGTGTGTGTGTGTGTGTGTGTGTGTGTGTGTTGATCATCACTAAATGGCTGCTGTTCTTTCAGTTTGGAGATGATACTGAGAAAATGTGCTCATTGGCCCTGGGTATAAATGCAGAACTGTGGGGTACAGAGGTATAATTTATCATTTCTCGGCCTTTTTGCTAAAATCACATGTAGAGACACACATAAGATACAGCTGTAGCTCTCTAGAGACTCCTTTGTGGACATAACGCAAACTGTTTATAGAGAGGAAGAAAAGCATGCTGTCACATACTCAGTTGTGGTAATGCTGGAGCAACGTGCGGCCCAAGGCTTCTGCAAGGTCAAGAGCAACACCTCCTCCTTTTTCAATGGTGTGATGTGGAGGAAGCCATGCCTTGCCTTAGATCCTACGTGATTGCTGTAAGCTGCAGGAAAACGTAATGGAATTCAGCTACTATCACAAAAGCTACTACTTGGAAAAGTCAAAGACTTCTCCAAAGGTCAAGCCGTGGCTTAAGAAGTCTTGGTGATATTTTAGCCTTTGTACATATATATTTGCTGTTTCCTAAAATGATTTTCTTGTGTGCTTCCAAGAACTCCTAACAGTGTATTTATCTAAAATGTCTATCAAGCATCCAAGGCCAAACGAAACACCTGTCTCCTAGATCAGTTGGATAGCTTTATTTCTTGTGCAATTTAGGGTGAGACCCTTCTTCCTTATAGCCTTACTAATAGACTCCTAATTTCTTACCTGACCACTTCTAGGAATGTAGATTGAGCACATAAATTCTCTTCTTGATATACTAACCGATCATTAGCTCTTTATTGACCTTCTCCTTTACCACTCCCCTTTTGGGTTGTAAAAGAAAGCCTGATGGTCACTGCCTGAGGAAAATTCTTACCTGCCTTTATGACCCTGTAAGAATTCAAGCCTGGTGACCTTGCTCTGCAAGAGGATTGCTATTGCTTGGGTTTATAACTGGATTCCTGAGAGAGTTAGGAAGAACTGAAAGAATATGGAGAACTGAGAGGTAGAAGGAGAGAGGAGGATTTTTGAAGAGAGAACTTGAAGACAAGACAGAAAAGAGACAAGAGAACAGAAGAACTAGATGGGTAAGAACTTGAGAGGAACAAACTGAGATGGGAAAGAACTAGATTGAAGGGCTAGAGAGAATACTAGAGGAACAAGATGGAAGATGAGGAAGAGCCAGATGGGGAAGAACAAATTGAGGGAGAACAAGATGAGAGAGAAGGAGATGGGAGAGAAGCTGATATAGGAAAGAACTAGATGGATGAGAACCTAGATGGGGTAGAACTAAGATGAAGGAATTAAGATAGAACCTAGAGGAGACAGCAGATAAATGTAGAGAGAAATCAGGCAAGAAAGGAGCTAGGCATGAGAACAGAATAGAAGCTGTGTAGAGAGAGAACTGACAGAATAATAAAGTGTATGGACTAAGGAGTTTCATGCACAGAGATTCATTTCTTTTCATCAAGATTAAATTATCAGCTGGTTATAGATTCTTCCCAGACCCTGGGAGGGGACTATCGAGGGGCTGGACCCCATAGTCTCCGATACGTGATAAGTAAGATGCTGACGTGCAGAGGTTACAGAATCCAGGCAGAGAGGCCCAAGCTAGTTCACTGCAGCATGATAACGAGATGACCTTGAACTGGATGGGTCTGGAGACAGTGGCTATCAGCTGGAGTCAGGAGTAAGCGGAGAGGGCTGCCTGCAGCCCCGCTGGGGGCAGGACTGATTGCCCACTGAGAAATGTGGCCTCGTTCTATAGACAGCTAGGGCCGACCGCGAGGTCTGAACATCTTCTCCAGATATCTGAAGGAGGGTGGATTGAAGAGCAGGAAACAAGAACACGCAAGTTCATGGTTACCAAGTCCTGGAGGGAGCAGGGAGAACCCCAGCAAGAGAGAAAAAGAAGCCCAACAAGATGCCCCAGGTTCTTAGGATGAAAATGTGGACAAAACCAACCTGAGGCTTTACCCGTAAGCAGAACCCCAGGTCCATGTGACTAGGCATCCTCAGCTGGGCACATGTGACCTTCACGAGCATTCCTCATGCTGTATGTTTCCTTTTATTCCTCTGCTAGGGTACTTCTACTCCCAAGACCCAGCCCAGATCTGGAGAGTGGCGGAGCAGCTGGAGGTGGGCATGGTCGGCGTGAATGAAGGACTGATCTCTTCAGTGGAGTGTCCATTTGGTGGGGTGAAGCAGTCTGGCCTTGGGCGAGAAGGGTCCAAGTATGGCATTGATGAGTATCTTGAGGTCAAGTATGTGTGTTATGGAGGCTTATAGGGTTCTTCACTTCTTCAAAAAAGAATAAAACTACCTAGATCTATAGGGACATGCCATCCATCTTTTAAAATAAACAAGTAGGTTATCAGAGTTATGAATTTTTAAAAATTCAGCCAGTCCTCATCATCTTAGACATAAATCCCAACCTCCCCCTTATTTAACTAGGGACCAATGGATGCCATATCTCTGTGGCTGTGGGCCCCAGCCAGTCCTGGGACCCCAGCACAACCCCACTGCCTCAGGAAGGTACAATGTGAGTGTTCACATGTCCCTGACCCTCACAAAGGGTAGTCACTGTGGGCAGTGGCTCCCCAGTCCCCATGGGACTGCCCATCTTGGGCCCAGAATACGGGGGAGGAAATGCTGGAGTGATAGACAGATGGATGGGGCGGGTCACATCCAGGCCTGGGCGTCTGTCGGCTTGGTGATGAACAGCTGCTGCCTGTTCAGAGGGGTTGTGGCAAAGGCTTTGGTTTCCTAAGACTTCTCTGTAAACAGCACAGGATTGCCTTGTACTGTATGGAATGTGGGGGTGTTTCTCCTTGTTTCTGGTCAGCTTTTCTGTTTTTTGTTTGCTTGCTTGCTTGCTTGCTTGCTTGTTTGGGTTTTTTTGTTTTGTTTTTTTTTTCTTTTGGTTTTTTGAGACAAGGTTTCTCTGTAGCCCTGGCTATCCTGGAACTTGCTCTGTAGACCAGGCTGGCCTTGGACTCATTGATCCGCCTGCCTCTGGGATTCAAGGCCTGCGCCACCACCAGCAGGCTCTGAGCTGTTTTTTAATTGCTGGAAACAGGGTTGGTTTGTTTTCGTTCTGTTTTGGTTCATCATCATTTGGGTTGCTTTTATGAGACAGGGTCTTGCTAAGCAGCCTAGGCTGGCTTCAAACTCACAATTCTACTGTTTCAGCCTCTCCAGTGCTGGGGTTACAGGCGTGCTCTACCACACCTGGGTAAATGGAAGTCTCCACTGCCCTAAACTTAGCTTATGCTTGGTTTTATTTCTCTTAGAAAATCAACCCAAGCTTGGGGGCAAACATCAGCAGAGGTGTTCGGCAGGACGAAGCCCGGCTGTTGTTTCTTTTCTAGGTGTTAAATCAATGCCCTTGTACACACTAGCATGTGTCCTACCACCGAACTACCCGCAACGTATTTTATTTTGTTTTGTTTTCATTTTAATTTTGAGACAGAGTCTTTGTAAGTTACACTGACAGGCCTTGAGCTCTTTATCGTCCTGCCTCAGTTTCCTGACAGGCCTGCACCACCAGACCAGGCCAGTGGAAAGCATGGGCTCTCGGCTGTTCCCGGTGCTGTGCGGCTCCACTGCCTGGGTGTGCTGTTTAGGATGCCATGCACCCCACTTCCAGAGATTCAGGCTTGGCGTACACGGTACTGTGAGCCTGAAGGAAGTGAAAATGCCTCACAGATACTGAAAATGCAGCTTGAGGACAGGAGCAGTTTTGATTCTGAGCAATACCACCCTTTGTGGAGGAAGGAAGCCAGGTGCCCACGTGTTCACCTGCCTACCTCTGAGCCAGGCTTGCTGTCCCCGGGGACACCTGCTGCTAAACTTCCAGAAGAGCAAAAGCACTTTCACCACGGTGAAAAATGATTTCCATAATTGCCAGTCCCCTGTGGAAGAGAGCTGAAGCCATGAATCCCCAGCACTTTTGTCCTAGTAAAAGCAGTTATGGTTCACGATTAAAAACAAAACAAAACCGTACCTGGACCTGTCAGATAGCTCAGTGGATAAAAGCTTTGCTGGACAAGCCTGGGGACCTACCTGAGTTCCAGCTCCAGAACCTACTTAAAGATGGGAAGGGAGAACCAACCCCACATTGTCCCCTGACCTCCACAAGTGCAACAAAGGCATGCGTGTGAGCACGCGTGCGCACACACACACACCCCAAACTCCTTGTAACTGGTATTGGTCTCACTTTGAAACGATTTAAATGAGGAAAAGTCTAGGTTCCCGTCCACCTAGAAGCTGCTGAAGTTGTTTATTCCCAACAGGCAGCAATGGAGCTCTCTGCCCCACGCCGCCCCACACCCCACGCCGCCCTACGCCGCCCCAAGCCGCTCCCCGCCCCACGTCGCCCCCCTCCCCACACCGCTCCCCGCCCCACGCCGCTCCCCGTGGAGAGTCCACTCACATACTCTGAGGAGGCTCTCTGGCTCTGAGGAGCCAACGTGGATGACAGCAGAGCTAGCTGCAGAGATACCTAAACACTACAAAGTCCCAAGCCACTGGGAGCTTCAAATAAGGAATTCATGGTTTTAAAAGTCCCTGTGCATTGCCGGGCGGTGGTGGCCCACGCCTTGAATCCCAGCACTCGGGAGGCAGAGCCAGGCGGATCTCTGTGAGTTCGAGGCCAGCCTGGGCTACCAAGTGAGTTCCAGGAGAGGCACAAAGCTACACAGAGAAACCCTGTCTCCAAAAAACAAAACAAAACAAAACAAAACGAAAAGTCCCTGTGCACAAGAAGTAGAAATCTGCCTCCTAGGAACCCCGCCCAAGTGGCAAGAGTCACAGCTGAGCATGTTCATAGTCTGTTTCTGCCCTCTTGTATAGTGTGTCGCTGGTTTCCATCGCATTTTCTAATTTTTTAAAAAAAATTTTATGGATGTGGGTATTTTTGCCTTCATGTATGTCTGTGCACATGCATGCTGGTGCCCTCAGGGGCCAGAAGAGGGCATCATCAGATCACCTAGAACTGGAGTTACAGCCGGTTGTAAGCCACCATGTGGACCCTGGGAAAGTGAACCCTGGTCCTCTGAAAGAGCAACCACTGCTCTCAACCGCAGAGCCATCTTGCTAGCCCCAACATTTCTCATTTCTTAAGATTTGTGCCCATCTTTTTTCAGTCAATACAAATGTTCTGCTCTTATTTTGTAGAAGATGAATACACATGCTGAGATATGAATAGAAGTCATTTCTTTAAACAGTGTCAGCCAGGGAGTTCTCGGACTGTGTGGCAATTACTTCTTGTGCATATTTGACTCACTGGGTATATCAGTGGCCCAGACATGTGTTACAATAAATGTAAATCAATTTTTGTAATTAAAATAATGGGAACGGGTAGCAGTGGTAAAGTATATACTTAGCATGCTGGAAGCCATGGGATTAATCACCACCACTGAAAATAAGTTAACATGAAAGAACATCTTAGAAAAACGGTTTTGGGTCATGGAAAGACAGTATTTGGGGGTTTTATATATATTTTTAAACAGGAGCTCTTGTTGGCCTTAAACTCCTGGGCTCAAATGATCCTCCTGCCTTAGTCTCCCAGATAGCTGCTACTATAGGCATGTTATCACCAAATCAATTAAGTTTTTTAGTTTGTAGGGGTTTTGAGTTTGGGTTTCATGTAGTCCAAGCTCACATTGAGACTCTCTTGCCCTGACTGCCTGTGCTGGACCTACACATATATAACTACCGTGCCCAGCTAAGAGATGTTTTTTAAGTGAACGTGTTATGGTTCAATAAGATATGTGATAAGTGGAATTTCTGGATATACAGAAGTGTTGAACCACAACCTGTGAGCCAAATTCTACCTGCCACCTTTTTTATAACTCCTGAGTTTCAAGTGCTTCATATATTCAGATGGATTGTGGTAGGCTAGAACAGTTATTTCCTGAAATCCCAGAGTCTGTGGGTGAACACAGCCACCGTCCCCTGTGCCTGGGTAGCTTTGCTGAGACGGTATGGCCTGCAGAACCAACAAGATGTACTGCAAAGCTGGTTTACAGGCCCTCATCTATACCAAGAGAGGGACAGTGGCCTCCGTGTTGATGAGACCTGAGTTCATTCGATTGCACACCTCCTGTGAAGAAGGCACAGTTTCTGGGCATCTGTTACCAGGAGTTCTTGGCAGTAATCATCAAATAACCCAAAGGATGTTAGCCTGATCTGTCACCCTGAAAGCCACTATTTGCTCCAGCTAGTGGGGCCCACTGAAAGTGCCAAAGTTCGAGTCTTTTTCCATCTGAGGGGCCTTTCAATATGACCCCATAGAAAGTGCTTGTTTCTTTCTGTATCTTTGTTCTTTGGGACTTGGTAAAAATAAAGATCAGACGCACAATGTAAACAAGCCTATTCTGTGACGTCACAACCTTCAAATTGGTTCCCTTGGGCTTGCCTCTCTGGAGGCTGGGTCCCAGTGTTTTAATTACCCATGTGCAGCTACTTAAAAACAGAATATTACTTGAATAATACTTAATACTGTGATTGTTTCTCGCCATACTTTGTGAGATAAATCTTGGGAATTGATGAGAAATATTTTGCTTTGTAAATGTATACGTTGACTCATTTTTCTAGTGTTTGACATTGTCTGGTCACCAGAGTTGAATCTCATTAATAAATGTTGAACTAACAGGACTTCCTAGCTCTGTGTCAAAGTGAGTGGCTGTGTTGTTTTTGCCATTTTCTACACCAGATCATTGTTGAGGAACTTTTTTTTTTTTTTTAAATCAGTTGAGTATTAACTGCATAGTGTTAGACCAGTGTGGATATGAAATCGTAACTCCCCACCAACGAGCCCCGGATCAGTGGGTATCTTTTGCTGGGACAAGGACTTAGCAACACCAAGAATTCAAGAACTGTGGATTTGCTTGTTTGGGATGTGCAGCTGCCTAAGGGCGTGCTCCAGCCTTCTGTAATCTGTCTTCTACACACTCCACTGTTAGCCACTCTTCCAGTCTTTTATTTTACAGAAAAGTATGAGAAAGGCATTTTCTGAGTCCCTGGTATCCGGATAGGATCCTCAAATATGAACACTTGTCTGAGTGCATTTTCTGTTGCTGGTAACACAAGACCACGGCTCTCGTATGTAGTATTGTTTTGGCTCATGGCTCTGGTACAAGGTCAAGGCATGTGGCAATGCCCTTGCTAACAGAGTCCCTAGGCAGTGTAGGGCATCACACGCAAAAGACCGGATCAAACTGGCCTTAACAGCAGGTCCACTGTTAAGACGCTGCATTAATCCACTGAATTCATGGGTGGTTGCATCCATGAAGGCAAAGCTCTAGTCAGCTCTGGAAAGGTCCCATATGACCCCGCCTCCTGGGCCTACAGCCTACAGTTGGCCCTTTCTGTGTTTCCCCACTGGGCCTGTGTGCCCTTGGGAACCATCTGTGGGGCCTGACCCTCATGACACCACTAAAATTGGGTAGGGACCACCCTTACAGCCTCATTTTAAGTCACTCTTAAAGGACTCAACTCCTCGCACATTCTAGAATTTGGGGGTTAGGAGTTCAACGTACGGGTTTGGCAACCGTCCTCCCTCGAGTTGGGACTTGGAATGTTAACGTGAGCTCCCCTTCCCCTCCCCATCCCCAACGCCCAGTGCGTCCATTTAAGGAGCAACAGCCGCGGGAACTCCAGGCAGAGCCTTGATCAGGGTTGAACAGAAACCAGGACAAGGGCAAGCTCCCAGGTCTCCAGGCGCAGAGTTCCCCTCAGGTTCCAGCTGGACATAATGAAGGCAGGAGGGTAGTACTGCTTCACAAGTCATCGAGATAGAAAGGGTTGGCTGTGGACTTGGTGCACTACCTCAGGATCAGGGCCTTAGTACATACAGCAGCTCCCAGACCCGACGTCTTCCCCTTCCCCGCAGAGTGCACAGGGAATGGCCTCAGAGGGGCACCTGGCAGAAGCTCAGGCAGCCGCCCCCCCCCCAACCCGCGCGGTGCGGGTACTAAGCTCCCCCAGTGGGGCTTTCTCCCCCAGGGCGCCACGACCTGGATGAACCTCAAATCATCTCCGAGGGTCTCCTCCGACCCCTGACTTCCGATGAGTTCAGGAAGAAACAGCTTATGAGGGTGACATTAGCCCTCGTGACGGAGGCCAAGCCAAATCCCAAGGAACCGGAGACGCAGCCAGACACGGGCATGGCCATACCAGGGGCAATTTCCTTCACATGCCGGGAGGTCCATCCATTTCTGCCTCCCGAGGAGTCGCTTCGGCCATGGGAAAGCAGAAGGCAGGAGAGCTGGAAGCCTCTTCCTCTAAGAAAAAACGAAGTGTTCTCTGGGGCAAGGGAGGAAGCCGACCTAGAAAGGAAAAGGGGGCAGGGGGCACACAGAGTTAGACCTTTGAGAAACATTTTAAGAGTTATTTTCGTTTTCACAAGGAAAAAAAAAATGTGTTAACCAGCTTTTTCTGTCACTGCCCGCAATACCTGAGATGAAGAATTTACAAAAGAAAGGGTCTATTCTGACTCACCCGTCTAGCCCACTCCTGCGAGCTGCTTGCCCTGGGAGCGGGGCCAGGCTGAGCACCAGCCCCCACTGGGCAGAGGAAAACGGTTCCCAGGGCGGGTGGAGAAGCAGAGCGAGGAAGGCGCGCACCCAGTGAGGTCACTTCCTCCCACCGGACCCCACCTCCTAAAGCTTCCAGTGCCTTCCAGCAGTAGCAGGGTCTAGAGATCAAGCCTTCCACACACTACCCTTGTAGATCCGAACAGTGGCCAAAGATCATTGCTGTTAAGATGATGCATATCTGGTTCATTTGCTTTTAGAAAACTCAGTAAAATACGGAATTCTTGCAGGACAGTGATGATCAAAGGGACTTTTAATTCATATACGTAATGAGTAGCAGTCTAAGTCTCCGAACAGGACCACAGTTTACCCCAACAAAATTACTAATAGACTGATTGATGTAAACACCTTGGAGACAACTTCCTGGCAGAGGAAGTTCAAAAATTAATCCATACAACATAATTCTACAAAACTAGAAAATTCAAGGGCATCTGGTAGTGAGGTTTAAGGGAAGGTGTGCCTATGAAGGGTCGCACAGAATCTTTTGGGATGACTTACCTATTAGCTTGATTACAGAGATAGCCGTACATCAAAATCTATCAAATTATGTTTTGTGTATGCAATTTATTCTAAGTGAATTATACCTCAAAATACTTTTAAATTTTTAAACCCCCCCCCCAGTGCTGTGAATTGAATTTAAGGTCCCACACACTCTAGGTAAGAACTCTTACTGAGCTGTATTCCCAGTCCTAAATTGGCTTTGTTTTTGACAAATAGTTAAGTCAGGGCTGTGCGTGGTGGCACAAGCCTTTAATCCCAGCACTCGAGAAGCAGATCTCTGTAAATTGCAGGCTAGCCAGGGCTACACTGTCAAAAAAAAAAGCTGAATGTAGTTGAGGACTGCTGGCCTAAATCTACTCATGACACCACCACAGCTGCCACTTACAGTCTGCCCTTGCCAGTAGGGGGCAGACTGTGCTTTAATCCTGAGAAGTGAACGTGCTGAGCTGAAAACGGTTAATTCAAGCTGCTTGTCTGGCCTCAGGAATGACTATTGGGTCCTCTGGGCTTCAGAAACTGTGTCTTCCTTGTTACAGGTCTAGATAATAAGTGTTTTAATCTTTGATTTTTTGTTTTTGTTTTTGTTTTTGAGACAGGCTTTCTATGTAGTCTTGGATGTCCTGGAACTTACTTTGTAGACCAGGTTGGCCCTGAACTCACAGAGATCCTCCTGCCTCTGCCTCCTCAAAGGAGTGCATCACTATGCCTGGCTGAGTGTTTTAGTCTTTGCAGACAATTCCTATTACAATTTCCTTAAAACTTTGTAAGAGTAGCCACAGAATCCATACATAAATGAATAAATATGATCATGCTCCAAAAAACTTGTTTATAGACACAAATGTAAACTTTATACATAAGGCATGTGATCAAAACAGTTTAATTTTTTTCAGCCATCTGAAACATAAAACACAAGGCTGGGAATGTAACTCAGTGGTAGAGTATGTGCCTAGCATATTCCAGAGAGACTCCTGGCTTCTGCCCCCAATACTAAAGAAGAAAAAGAAAAAGGATAACATATAAACCCATCCTTTTTTCAACACGTGCAGCATGAGAAAAGAAGTATCAGTTTTCTGATCCAGCTCAGGGAGATCTCTCTACTTGGAAGCATAAGGAAAATATATTTCTCCTTCAAAATAAACACTAGAGAAAATGTGAACTCTTCTTTAGATCAGCACATGTATTTAATAGTATTACACAAGAATCAACACTTGATCAAAACATGTGGAAAATAATACATTGAAAAGAATAAGATCAAGACTTGGAATCCATGGTAACCAGGTCACCATTTTCTTACTTCACTCAATGTTTGTTTGCTTGAGACAGGTCTGTAGCCCCAGTTGGGCTTGAATACAGTATGTAGCCATGGATGGTGATCTTGAACTCTTGGTCTTACTTCTCCCCCCAACACCTTCCAAGTGCTAGAATCACAAATGACTGCTGCTCCCTGCTACATGTTTTTAAGGTGTTTAAATATTGGGGATGCTGGGGTTGGATCTTTGTTTAAAGCAGTAATTAGCTGCGCTCTCAGCCTCTGAGCCCTAGAAAATGCTCTCTCCCATACTCTATAGAGCAGCGGTTCTCAACCTGTGAGTTGGCCTTTTCACAAGGGTCACATATTAAACATCCTGTATATCATATATTTATACTACAATTCATAACAGTAGCAAAATTACAGTTATGAAGTAGCAACAAAATTACTTTATGGTTGGGGGTCACCACATGAGAAACTGTTTTAAAGGGTCGAAGCATCAGGAAGGTTGAAAACCACTGGGCTAGAGACTTGTTCTATTTACTAACAGCCCTCAGAGTCCCTAGTTATAAACAGCACACGATGAATGCTGAGTGGCAAGGCTACCCCCTCTTTTGGTCCCCAAGAAACGAATGGGTCACAAGACAGAATTCATTTTCCAGTAACCATTGTGACGTTTATTTCTGGTTTGCCATAGATTCAAGGTTCTTTTGTGGTTTATGGATCAGAGGGGCCCAGCTGAGATAGCCAAGGACAGAACCAGCACACACGTTGAAAACCTCGAGGGAGGGGTAGTTCAGAGTGGGTCCCAGTGGAAGGGTCTAGGTCCATGTTCTCCCACTTGGTCTTGCTTTCTGACACACTCAAAGATTTCTTCTTCGCCCCAGCAACAGAACTTTCCGGGGTCTGAAAGGCTCACCAGGATCTGCCCTCCAACATGAAGGCTGGACTTATTCATGGCTTGGAAAGCGGGTCTTGGCACTCGACTTCCAGATCACTTCCAGATCCACCGCTGACTGTGACCCTGGGAAAAGCACTCATGCTCCACGGACCTCCAGTGAGTGTCTATGGCGTAGGAATGTCTCCTTTCAAGACTAATTGCAAAGGTCAACTAATTATGAGTGATGCATACATTATGCATACTTATGCATACATAAAGCAGGAGGTCTTCACAGGCTTCACTACTACACTCTATTGTTCTAACTTGGGCCACACTCTCTATGCCAGAAATGTCCAGTTCCCCACAAAAAGTAGCGTCATACTGGTCTAAGGATAGGGAAGATTCTGTTCTTGAAACTAAATACTGCTGTTGAAAAAAAAAATCACTTTTCCTCTAATAATATAGATAACACTGAACTAGGATTTATAGGCATACACAAATAAATTACCTTTAAAATAAAAGTGCATTCCTATACATTTTAATTTAACTGTTTCCCCAGAAAAGTATAATACAGTGGACTCTTACTCATGTTTTTTTTTTTTTTTGAGCTTTCTATTACCTATAGTTCAGAAATAGAAGATTCCAGAAACAAATAATTACTAAAATTTATGTTATGGTTCTAATTCTCCTGATTTTTTTTTCTTCATTCTTTAACATCGGGTCTCATGTAGTCGAGGCTGTCTCCAAACTTAGTGCATAGCCAAGGCTATCACTGAACTGCTCCTCCTTGCTCTCCTTTCCCAGGTGCTAGGCTACAGTGTTGGGCTCTTCTACTCTTTGAATGCCAAGGACATTGCCAAGGCTACCAACCTCGGGGCTGTGGGCAGCTGGGCAACTACCACAAGCCCATCAACATCTCAGGCTGCAATGAACTCTACTTCATTGCTCTGAGTGCCACTTTAGGAGAGGATATGGTTTAATTCCTTTTTGTGTTAAGAACTAAAGTAAGACTTAGTTCTCTACATTTTAGATAAGGTTTTAAGATTTTATTTTATGTGCATGAATATTTTGCTTACATGTATGAACTCTGTACATTCCTGCTGCTGCTGGAGGCCAGAAGAGGGCACTGGACCCCCCCTGAAACTGGAGTTATGGACAGTTGTAAGCCACCATCTGAGTGCTAGGAACTGAACCACAGTCCTCTGCAAGAGCAGTGAGTGGCCGCAGATAGAACCATTTCTCCAGCGCCTTAAATACGTTTTAAAGCATAAACAGTGAACTTTCTACCCAGTTACTTCTGTGGAAAGTCTTTGTAGGAGCTCAGAGCATGATGACCACACTCCCCTCATGAAGAACGTATTTCAGAGTTTTGGAATATGTCCACAGTCACTAAGTCCTTCTCCTTTTCTATGGCAGTGCTAAGGTACATACTCAATAAAAGTCAAGTGCATAAGCAGTCAGTTTTAATGTCCACCAAGTGAGAGAAGCCCCACTGTGGTTTCTTTTTCTTAGAGAGAGAGAGAATGAGAAGAAATGAGATAGACAGAAAGAAAAGAATATTAAAGGCTACCTTCAGCGTTCAACCTGCAAGTCCTTATCCCCTTCCCGTCTCTACTGCCTCCTGTTCTTGGATTCTGACTCTTCCTTAACTCCTGAATTTCTAGCCTAGCCAGCAATTGGCTGCATCACGAACATCACGTCAACACAGGAAGCCCGCTGCACACAGATGGCTCCTGCCTCTTAGCTGAACTGCAAGCTGACCCTGCAGCCCCTCTGAGAAGCCACTTCTGGAAGGTTTTTCTTAAAGGCTGTCACAGCTTCTACAGAGCTTAACTTGTCTTTCCTACAGGGCTATAAATAAACAAGCGTTCGCCTTATTTCACCATGGACAATAAATATACTAAAGTGTCCAGCACAGAGACACAAAACTGTTTTCAGCACACTCCGCGGACGTCTTCTGCACCCTTTTCTCTATTAATGAGCATCAGTTGAATAAGCAGTGTTTTCTTTTGTCTTGAAAATTCCAAGAACCCGGGTCTTTTAATAAATATGTGGAGCACAGAGCAAGGCCCCTGGGAAGGGTTGATAATTGTGCTGTGCCCAGCAGGAGTCAGTTTTGCATTTTAACTCCCACTGTCTGGTACTGAGTCACAGGCCCAAGAGGTCCCTCCACACACAGCCCATTATCTGTCCTTTGAGCAGTAGCCGAAGGAAGCGCCATTTCTGGCAGAGCCGTTCAGGGAACCCTTCAGGATCCCTCTCTCCATCCTCTCTCGGCTGAACAGTGTGTCCTGGTCGCTTTCAAACTCGGACTCTGACACCATCAGGCTGGAGTTGTGCTCGGTGCTCCGGTGCTTGATGCCTGGGGAGAAGCAGGGAGAACGTGAAGGCCGGGCCACTCCCCTCAGCTGACCTTCTGGCTGCCTTCCTGCTCTGGGCCTTCAAAGCAGTCACCCACATGGCAGGTGGGCTGGCATGACAGCAGCTTTGGGTGTTACCCTTGAACTTGAACTTGACCTTGACACCAGCTTCATGACCCCTGTCAAGGTACCTAAACTCTTCCCATCTATTGGAAGGTGACAAAGCTCTCACCCACAGGGTTATGGTGAGGACGGCATGAAACTGCCCCTGTGAAGCCCTTCACCCAGCTTTTAGCACAAAGTGGGCACGGGACACATAACCGCCACAGTGGTCTTCGAAGTTTAACCCCACCAAGTATTTTTGATAGATGATTTGATTTCTGGGATTAAGATATGACCCCTAATATCAACCAACTGATAGTGTCTAACATAAAGTATAAAGGTTTCGGGGTGTGCCATGGCATGCACGTGGAGGCCAGAGGATACAGTGAGAGATGGTTCTCTCCAAATAGCACCAGGCACAGAACCTATGCTGTCAGGCTTGGAGATAAGCACCTCTACCCACTGAGCCACCTCGCCAGCACTAATGCTTTAGAATTTTTAAAAAGAACTTATAGTGTCTAGCTAAGGAGTTAAAACATGGATCTTTGACATGATGGCTCAAAATATCTAAGAAATAAAACTCTTACATGAATCAGGAGGATACAAACATCTCCTGATAGCTGGGATTCATCCTGTGATGGTCCAAATAGGATGGATTTAAACTAAGAGGGATGTTGAGGTAGGAGAACAGAAGGAGGGCACAGAACATTTAGAAGTGTCCGGGAGAACTTACAGGGGAAAAAAGTGTGGAGCAAATGACAAGTAGGAAACAGGGAATGCTGTGGGATGTCATTCTGTATGCTGTGAATATGTGTTTCTCTGATTGGCTGATAAGTAAAACACTGATTGGCCAGTAGCCAGACAGGAAGTATAGGTGGGCAAGCAGATGAGGAGAATTCTGGGAAGAGAAAGAGCTGAGTCAGGAGTTACCAGCCAGACACAGAAGAAGGAAGATGACAAGGCAGAACTGAGAAAAGGTACCAAGTCATGTGAATAAACATAGATAAGAATTATGAGCTAACTTAAGTATAAGAGCTAGTCAGTAATAAGCTTGAGCTAATGGTCAAGCAGTTAAAATTAATATAAGCTTCTGAGTTATTATTTTATAAGCGGGTCATGAGTAGAATGAGAGAACTTCCAAAAGTTGTCCTCTGACCTCCACACACCTGCTGTGGCACGTGTACATCTCTGCCCTGGAATAAATAAATAAGATGTAAGCCGGGCGGTGGTAGCATACACCTTTAATCCCAGCACTAGGGAGGCAGAAGCAGGTGGATCTCTGTGAGTTTAAGGCTAACCTGGTCTACAAAGTGAGTTCCAGGGTAGCTATGACTGTTACACAGAGAAACCCTGTCTCGAAAAAACAAACAAAAATAAACAACAACAACAAAAACCCACAGAAAAAGAAAGAACTAAGTTATCTATAAACCCAGAATTAAGAAAACCCATAGAATCAGCACTGAGCAGCCTCAGAGGGGCAGAAAAAGTACATTAAATAATAGTTAATATGTGAGCATCCAAAGGTTAACTGAAGTGAGTAGAAGGTGTCCTGAGCATAAGGGCCAATACACTTTGAGAAGGCAAATTTCTGTAAACACCCCAGCTGACGGAGCTGATGGGAAATGGTTCTTTTTTTAAAGGCTAGATGTCCTGCTGCTGCATCTCTGGCCATATGTAAAGGGAACAGCTATCTGAGATAAGCCAGGGTGAAAGTGCATGGTGGGTCATATGACCCACCACCCTCTAACCCAGCGTAGAGAAGAACCAGGCACGGGGGACACCTCCATGGAGGAGAAGTCTTGGCCCTGGGGTCACTTGGCAGAGGCTCAGCCTTCAGTAAGTACCTGCAATGCCTCACCCATTACTGTCCCAGAGTACTTGTCAATTTTTCATTAACTTTCTAATAGAGTGCCATTAGCCTGCTCTCAGGCAGCCTGCCCGCCCACAGGGCTGAGGGCCTTTGTCTTTCCTTGCAGACTCCCAGGCTTGCTCTTCCAGCCTGATTGAACTGTTGCTTCCACCTCAGTCTCCATGTCACCCACCTGAATGTTCTGGCCAATGCCTAGATAGGGTATCCCAAAGTGTCAGGCAATTGTCTTACCGTATTTGGGCCTCAGTTCCATTCTCTCCTGTTCGTCCATATTGTCTAGGATGATGTACTTGGTTTTCTTCCTTATCTTAGTCCTTTTCCGTCTGAAAGGAACAATGAAGTGATCAATTCAAATGCTCAGAATCGTACCTGGGATCTTTCCCACCTAACTAAAGGGTTCACCTGAAACTCAGGTGCTGGAGTCTCTTCAAGCAATGCTCAACACCTCTATACAGCCCAGGCAGCTTTTCCCCCATGAGTAATGTCTCACTCAGAAAGATGTGGGTGAGCAAGATTCCCCAAATCAGTGCTGACCAAGAATGTTCAGAGAAGGAAACCAGCACCCGGAGGGAGGGGCACACAGAAGAAGTGATAAAACAGTGAAGCCCCGCAGTTATCTTAGAAATAACTCCGTCTTTCATTTTTCCCACAAGATGTAAAAACTGGGCTGATCCTTTGTGTCTCATGCTAAGCTGCAAAGTATGACTCAAAAACACTCATTAAAACCACCCTAAACTCGGGAAGCAGAGACAGACAGATCTCCGTGAGTTTGAGGCCAGCCTGGTCTACGTAGAAAGTTCTAGAACCAGGGCAACATAGTGAGACACTGTCTCAAAACAGACGGACAAACCACGACCCTAAGCATCAGTCAACTTGTTCTGATCAGATCATGTCACTCAGAGCAAGGGCTTCTAACTCTCACTTTAGTGCTTGCTAGATGGAGGCTTTGAGAATATTACTTAAGACTTCTGTGTCCCATGCCCTCCCCTCCAGAAGATTCCCTTTCTCCTGGGGTTGCTGGGAGGGCCAAATACAACAGGACAGTTAGAGCTGTCACTATGAATCAAAACGGCAACTGTTCAGTAGATGTTCAAGGTCAGCACCGTTCACTTCCTGTACACAACCCTGAGATGTAGATGTGTAAAGCCACATTCAGTAGGGGACCCTATCCCACGTGGTTCTGGGGACTCAATGAGTTTGGGCCTCTTTCTCAGGGCTTGGCTCTTCTGCCATACCCACTGCTGGGAATGCAGTCATAAGTAAAACTCAAATACACTAAGGGTGACTTATGGAAGCAGCTATAGTTTTAGAATGCCATTTTAAAAGCCCATCTTTAGACACATAGTGCTTTGTATAGGAAAATGAGCCCACTACTCTCTTCTGAGGTCTAATGATATCTTTCCTCACAAATCTCCTCATCAGGGCTGAACACAGGGTTCTGGGAGGTTTTGACAATGGGGCAGCCCAGGGGCTTCTCAGAAGTCATCTCCTTTGGGGGAAAAAGAAGAAGAAAAATCTAAAACAAAATTGCCTCTCTTCAATTTTAGGTGGACTAAAGGATTCAGACTGATCTAATTGTTGTTTCATATAACCAAGTCTAAAAATCAGACTCACACACTTCTAGAATGTTTTTCTCTGCTGAGATATGTAAAGCCACCTGGACACTGCTCTGGTGAACATGTGAGACAGAGATTACTATTAGATTTGGGAGTGGGGATTTGGCTCAGGGGTTGAGTACCTACCTAGCACGTGCAAGACACTAGGTTCAATACATAGCGCGCGCGCGCACACACACACACACACACACACACACACACACACACACATATATACATATATATATATAATCTGATATAGAATTATAGGTCTTGCTATGCTGGAAGGTGAGGGAACATCAATGAGAAAAAGCTGCCTCCTGCC